CCAACGCTCCCACTAGATGACATCACGGTTGCTATTTGTCCGGGCATTGCCAACAGCTCTGAATCGGTGTACATTCGCACCTTTGTCCACTTGGCCCAGTGCAATGGATACCGCTGTGCGGTGCTAAATCATATTGGAGCACTGCGCAGTGTCCAAGTGACCTCGACACGTATTTTCACCTATGGACACACGGAAGACTTTGCCGCCATGGTGGAGCATTTGCATCAAAAGTATCGTCAGAGTCGAATTGTGGCGGTTGGTTTCAGTCTGGGTGGTAATTTGGTAACCAAGTACATGGGAGAGGACCAGAAGACAAAGCCCAGTAGCGTCATCGGTGGAATATCCATATGCCAAGGCTATAATGCCGTCGAGTGAGTGTCAAAGGATTACGTTTTATTTATGAAGTTAATTAATAATAAACCTTATTAAGGGGCACCAAGTGGCTGCTCAATTGGCAGAACTTCCGACGCTTCTACCTGTACATCATGACCGAGAACGTTAAGAGCATTATCCTAAGGCATCGTCATGTCCTACTGTCGGATGAAGTGAAGACTCGTCACAACCTAAACGAGCGCGAGATTATCGCCGCTGCCACACTACCAGAATTGGATGAGGCTTACACCAGGCGTGTCTATAACTTCTCCTCAACTCAGGAGCTATACAAATGGAGCTCGTCGCTATTCTATTTTGATACCATTAAGAAGCCCATGATCTTTATAAATGCCAAGGATGACCCCCTGATCCATGAGGATTTGCTGCTGCCCATTAAGGAATTTGCAAGTGAGTAAATGAGTAATGGGAATACATTTTCCATGCTATAAGTTTTGGGAAATTAATTTAACTTTTCTTCAAAATTAATTATGTATTTGTTCTGGCACGAGTTTTCTTTTCCCGCCCAACTTTGAAATGTGTTTAGTGGTGTTGTAAAGCGACTGAATGCGCTTCCAATGCGCAGAAGTCTTGCCCGTGTTGGCTTAGCTTGCCTTCCAGTTGGCATTAGTTGCGACATTGACCAATCAGACCAACAAGCAGTCGTGGCCGAGCGGTTAAGGCGTCTGACTAGAAATCAGATTCCCTCTGGGAGCGTAGGTTCGAATCCTACCGACTGCGAATTGGATATAATTTTTTTTCCTTTTTGTAATTTTTACTAATACATATTTTAATGCAAATTTTCTTTTTTTTTACAGTCACTCGTCAAAACACAGCCTATGTGGAGGTGGCCCATGGCGGTCATCTGGGCTTCTTCGAGGGCGGTTTCTTGTATCCCAACCCGGTTACTTGGCTGGACCGTACTTTGGTGGCCATGGTTGGATCTCTTGTCATGATGCACACCGATGTGGGCAAGGTGGCTTCGTAAGCCTTCGTTTTGTTTGGAAAAAAAGAAACCACAAAATCACACGACTCGTAAATGCTTTTGTGTCAAAATTGGTTGTCGTCGACAAAAAATTAACTAATCCTCGAAGGAATGTGGGAATGGAGCCCGAATAACACCATACATATAGATTTAAACATATAATATTGATGTGAAGCAAGTAAAAATTATCAGTCACGAATGCAGGAAACCAACAAAAATTGATGTATACTTTTGCAAAGTGCATTTAAAACGAAGACATATGTACGTAGAGTTTTCGACAATGGTTTTTATGCTTTTTTCTAAACATTTTGACCAGCCAAACATACAATGTATCCAGTTATACTTGTCATTTAGTTAGTTACGCGAATAACATGTATCCATGTACTTATGTCTAAGAAAATTCCTATTTATATGCATCTTCATTTGTGATCTAACCTCCCTTAAAATTATGTAAATTTCTTTATAAGTGAAATAATGTACACAAGACACCGCACACAATATACGAAGTTATTATAAATTATAAGTACCCGGCCGCACTATACCATATATTATAATAGCAAACTGAAAAAAATTGCCTTATTGTAGACTTCGTTTTTGTAAGTTTGTATATGATTTTAATGATTCATTTTGTACTGCGATGCATTTCACGGAAATCAAAGAGAAACCAACAGAAATTTGCCCAACGATGGCTAAGATTTTTTGTACTTTTTCTGATGTTTACCAAATTGATGGGTCACCACGACGAATACGCGATTTGTTTACAGATATATAGTGAAAGTACGGAAATATATTTATAAATGTATTTGTAAATGTATTTTAAGTGTATATTTAAACGAATAAATAAATACCAGTTGACTAATGAGTTATTTGATTCTTTAAATGTTTTAAATTGTAAAAATGCTAATAAGTACAGGGCTTTTTAAAATTTTCCTTTTTTCTGCAAAATATTTAGTATTTTCAGCATTCAGTATTTTTCCTATCGCTTATTATATTTGATAACATGAAACTCGAGTTATCGGCTTACATTTTCCATTTTAAGTGTTCTCCACACGAAGCACAAAACGGGATTTGGCGCCCCGTTTGTTAAAGCAGTCGTGGCCGAGCGGTTAAGGCGTCTGACTAGAAATCAGATTCCCTCTGGGAGCGTAGGTTCGAATCCTACCGACTGCGAAAATGATCAGTTTGTTTTTTATATTCTTTTTTTTAATGTTTGACTATATAATCTTATTTTCGACCTATGCACTATCTTTTTTTTTTGTTTGGTCAGAAAATTTGATTAGCCCATTGGAAAATTAATACAAATGTAATGGTGCAAGTAAAATGATTTTTTTTTAAATGTCTGTGGGTTAAATTAATTAAATTTAATTTATTAAAAATCTTGTTTTTTCTTAAATTATTTTTTATATATGTAGTTTTACATTTAAAAATAATTTAAAGATTTTTCACTTTTAAATATTGTTTAAATTAGTCAAATATTATTTAAATGTTCTTTGATTATTTTAAAGAATACAGAAAAATGTATGTAAGTTCTAATAATCTTATTAAATAGTCAATCTACTACTACTTTCAGAAAATATAAATTATTATTTATATCAACATTAGTCATATTTTTCCCAAAAACAACTCCAATTTAATAATATTTTTAAGACAAATTAAAGAGTATTCAAATAACGGCTTGAATCATTTAAATAAATTAATTGCTTCGAAAGGGAAGTGAAATCTATACATATATCCCATAATCACTGCCAATATCTTTAGCTATCTTTTGTTGTTGCCTGTTGCCTTGACCGCTTTACCAAAAAGTTTTTAAAATTAATATTATTAAGCCATAAGCAGTCGTGGCCGAGCGGTTAAGGCGTCTGACTAGAAATCAGATTCCCTCTGGGAGCGTAGGTTCGAATCCTACCGGCTGCGAATAGGAACAATTTCTTTTTATTATTTTTGTGAAGTTGTTTATGTTAATCTAAGGGCCTTTCCATACATTTTATATAATATCTGATAAAGGGGAATGACAGTGTGTCACATAATTATGCTAATTTAGTTCGTAGAGTATTTTATGTTATACCTAAACTATGTATATATATATATATATATATTCATATTCTTTAATTTTACTAACAAAATTTATTAATTTTATGGGGAGGGGGATCAAAATGATTCACTTTTAAGAATAAGAAATAATGGATAGCCTGATCATTTTTGTATGCTTGGAACCCATCGGTTTTGTGAATGAAAAATTAAAAACTATAATAATTTTCATCCCGAAGAAACAAAATATATTATTCCTCTTTACTCTTAGTAAATAACTTTTATTTTATAAAATAAATGTGGAATTAATAAAAATCCTAAGGTCATAAACCTTTTTATAGGAACTATTCAAATGTTACTATTTACAAATTTAGGAAAATTCTTTAAAAGTTTTAAAGAGTATTGAAAACCGATCATAAACTACTTAAACTTATTAAGTGCTCAGAATGGGGCATCCTATCTATAAATTCTATAATCACTGCCCTATCTTGATATCTTTTGTTGTTGTCTTGACCACTTAAGAGGTATTTTAAATAGATCTAAACGCTTTTTAAATTAATATTTGTGTAATCGACTGTTTAATCATAAGCAGTCGTGGCCGAGCGGTTAAGGCGTCTGACTAGAAATCAGATTCCCTCTGGGAGCGTAGGTTCGAATCCTACCGGCTGCGAACAGGATTAGTTTCTTTTTATTTTCGTTTTATTTTAACTTAAAAAATTTCAGTTTTTGCCTAAGAAAATTTTGAATATTTTTAGCCAAATATTTCATCTTCATTTAAAGATTTGTATTACAAAATTAATGAGACCTGAGATCCTAGCCATAAGAGACAATTTTTGATCAATAATAAAATTACTTTTTTTTATTTAAGGACATGACGGTGAAGTTACAACTTTACAAAACTTTTGAGGACAGGTTTCACGGCAGCAGCATTTAATGCCACACTTGGTGTTCTGGGCTTCGCACGTGGCTTCGGTCCAGTCGAATGATAAGTAACCTGAATAAATAAAGATTCAGATAAATATTGTAAAAACAGATGCCTAAAGTATATATGATACTCACGTGCTAATTCAGCAGCAGCTCTTGCCTCATTCATACTTTGCAGTTGGCAGTCGGTTATCTCCTTATAAATAAAGGTTATATTGCAGCTGCAATGGGGGTCCAGGAGACAACGTCCCTTTACTGTAGAATCATCACAAGGACCTGGTGGTCCATTAAGTGGTTCATAACTACAATGGGGTCCACAGCATTCGTTAATTATGGGCGGTAGATCCGGTTCCGTGTAATCTCCTTTGACACAACAATTTTCACCCGTGAAGGGAACGCAATAGCTCACACAAGAGCTTAAGACCCACAAACAGGCGAATAGATTAAATATCAATACAATCTGTATGGCCGACATATTGCTGGCAGAACACTCGGACGATCTCATCAGATCGGCCTGCTTTTATAGTCTGGCCATCTTCCATATTTCCACTCCATTTTGTATGTGTGCACAACTGTTGGTAAATAAATACTTTAAATAAATATTAAAAATAGTCTGTTAAGTCGCCTTGTGAGGCAGGAAAGACTATAAAAGGGCTGTGTTTTCCCATCAGACTTCATCTGAGAAGTTTCCGACATGGCTGCCAAAATCCTTACGACTCTGCTGATCCTTTGCATGGTCTTCGTGGAAAACTCGCAGTGCACTTGTCCCAATAGTGTTTGCGAAGTGGTTGTCAACACGAGTCCTCAATGCGTTAACAAGGATATCAGAGGGCAGTGCGTCTGCGATTTTACCTGCACGAAATGGTCAAGGCCCTGCAATTGGGTGCTTACTTGTCCCGAGGAGATCCAGAACATTAACCAGAATTATCGCAAGGACAAGAATAAGCTATGTACGAAGACTAAACTTTAAGAGAGAGCCCCTATAATCCCAAGCATAATATTTTTCTTATAGTTATTTTCAGATTGCCCAATCGAAGCCACAGGGAGTGCATGGAGATCAATCATAGATCAAGAAATGGAGACAACTGCTGCGAGCAGTTCTGTCGTGGTGATATCACTGTTGATGCTTGCTTTTAAATAAATAAACAATTATGATTTTTAAATAGGAAAATGTTTGATTTTTCAATGGGGCTGGATTTTTGTTATCTTTTTCTTGGTAGATTCCACGATGATCAGCTATGATTTACATTTATACCTATCAAGGCTTCAATATAATAATGGCATAATGAGCTTTGAAGGGTTAGCGACCTTTTTAAAGTTTTTTAAATATTTGTTTTTGACATTAATAGGGTTTTAAAGAGAGCTAAGGCGAAATTATAAGTCGTTTCTTAAGACATACATTTCTAGGTATCAGTAAATCGCTTAATTAAGTAAGTAATTATTTTGTGTTTTCAATTTAACATATTATATTCAGTGGACAGTTCTTAGTTGCAAGACTTTCTTCTTCTGTTCTGTCTTTTAGTATTTTTTCACAATAATATAACTCATGTCATATACGGGATTTTTAAACTTAACTGCTTGCATATATTAATAATATACATTTTACTTGATAAGCTTAGTTGTAACAGAAATGTAAATGAATTAAAATATGAAAGTTGTATAGGAAAAGCTGAACAAATCGTTGAAAATAAAAAGTCTGATATTATAATTTAAAAGGTAAGACCTTGTCTAAATTTTCAGAATGTAAAGCATAGCACTGTTTGAAATTCGGTAAATAAAGTATTAAAAATTAGAAAGGTAACTTATTTCAAACAATGCATTTGGGATATTAATATTTTTGTAAATAATAAGTATAATGTTAGAGGTTTAATTAACTTTTTTATTATAAGTTACTCTAGTGTTGCAACTTAAACAATAGTGTGGGATAAGAATAATAATATTCATATACTATATTATATTGATATATTTATGCTAATATATTTATATAACAAGAAATGAAGCTAACTTCGGCACGCCGAATTTATATACCCTTGCATATAGAACTTCTATGAATAAAAAACCATACAATATAAATTATATATATTTGTGTTAAAAAACAATGAAGTAATACCTGCTTACATTTCATTAACCTATACATATTATATTTGCAGTTTTACATTCAAAGATTTGCATTTTCCTCTACATCAAACGATCGTTTGTATGGCACCTATATGATATAATAGTCAGATTTTCATGAAATTTGACACAAAATTTAAGACTAATATAAAATGCCTATACCTAAAATTTGATGAAAATCAGTTGAAAACTGAAAAGGTTATAAATTTAATTGAATTAATTTCTCGATCGTTCCTATGGGAGCTATATGATATATTAGTCCGATTTTCATAAAATTTTATGCAAAATTGTAGCGTATAGTAAAATGGCTATATCTCAAATTTGATCCAATTATATTGAAAACTGAAAAAGTTAAAAAAATTTTTGTAAAAATTTTCCGATCATTCCTATGACAGCTATATGATATAGTCGTCCGATCCGGCCCGTTCCGACATATATACGAGTGAGAGTATATACAAGGCTAACTACAAAGTTTCATTCAGATAGCTTTAAAACTGAGAGACTAGTTTGCTTAGAAACGGACAGAAGGACAGACGGACAGACGGACATGGCTAGATCGACTCGGCTGTTGATCCTGATCAAGAATATATATACTTTATATGGTCGGAGGTGTCTCCTTCACTGCGTTGCAAACTTCTGACTGAAATTATAATACCCTGCAAGGGTAAAAAAATATACCAAAGTTTGCAGGATAAGACTATTTGGTATGTGGTGTCCACGTAGTTATTTAAAGAGACAAGTTATCTGAGTTAGTATATTCAAATGCTGATCCAGAATATATATTTTCTATGTAACTTCAAATGCTGATCCAGAATATATATGTTCGATGAAATTAAAACCCCTGTAAAAATCCTCATAAGGATAATTAAACTTACATCCTGATGCAACTATTAGAATCTACTCTGACCTGTATCAATTTTTTATTTACTTTACCTGCAGTTCAAAGCTTCTATTTGTTTACTCAAGTCCAAAATTATCCAATATTGTTCACGTTCGACCACCTTTTGCACAGATGTTATGGATTAACTCCTGCTGGGCACGTGCTCATGTCTGTTGATTGGCCTTCAAAAGTATAACGAACCTAAAACTGCTGTATTTACCTTTTTAATTGTTCTACTTTTATTATCAATTTAAAAGCCATATTTAAAGCAATATATGCCAAACATTATCATATTTATTCAATTACTTTCCATTTACACACGTAATTATTTAGTTTAATAGTTTATAGTTAGCTACTTATCCCTTTGGCTATTTAATGTCTCCGAGTGCAATACCTACTAGTATGTATTTACAGTTTTAATTTAGTTAACATTAAATGCATTCTTAGTTGGTAAATTATTTAGTTAGTTTCTATGGTAAATAACCTAGTTTAAATCGTACATAAGCTTCTCAGCATTATTAGGTTCCTCGCAGTCGAATGAAGCCATCATTAGTTCTGAAAAGAGAAAACAAACAACTTAAGTTCCATGAAATAATCAACATACTTTGGACAACAAAAAATATGTATAGAAAAAAGCAATCGCTGAGAGAAACAAACGGACTCAAAATCAGAGAAGAAAAAAATAACAAAACTGTTATTTAGTTGCTCTGTCCACTTGATTGAAAATGACACTCAAGCGTAGACAGGACTCAAGACTTGACCCAAAACACATTCACTCAAACCCGCATACACACAATTCAAATGGTCCGAAAAAATCTCAGTGAAGCGTGCCAAAATGTTTGATTTTCACGCTTTCGAAGGATATAGTGTCCTTGCTAAACTTTCACTTAAAATAATGAAAATACTTTTGAAAATACTTTTTAATACAAGGCGGCCTTCATATATTGATTGATTATTAAGTTGGTGAAGTTTTAGGTAATTGCAAGAGGGGAACAATATTTTTTAAAGTTAAATTTAATTATCTGAAAACTTAGCTCAAGATGACCAATAAGTAAGCTTATCTTATTATGTTGATATAATTTTTAGGTACCTTTATATATTTCTAAATATATGCTTTGAATCCTTAGAAAAATCTTTATAAAAGGGTATTTTTAGTGTCGACTTTAAGGATTCAGTATACATTTATTTTTTTGTCGTCCAGCTTGGCACGTGTTCTATGGCAGGGCCTTGAGGCTTCGTTGCTGGTATTTTTGTTTACTTATTTTCAGCACGCACTCGGAGGAGGAGTGGCGAACCAAACTTTGAGCATTCAGTTTAAAATTTATGAAGCCAGAATGTAACAATATTAAATTTCATGTTCGCAAATGTGAAAAACAATTCCCAGAAAAAATGTTCAATCAACGCTTTAATTTATGCAAGTTTTTATGTGATCAGAAGTTTATATTTACAAAGTTTGTTTGTGCAGAGTAAGTAGTGATAAACAATTAAAACTTAATATATTATTTATATTTTTAACATAGCTTTTCTTCTTCTCCCATTGTAATTAAAAATCCTAGACCACAACTCTATCCTTTCCAATTTGATATGCATATGCTTGAGTACCTTACAAGATCTCGGTTAAAATCCGTTTAAAACTAGAACAGCTTGAACTGGAACTCATTTTGGTCTGGGTTAACTTCTGGTCAAGAGCTGACAAGTGCGGCGGGTTTATTTATTTTATTTTTTTTTGGGGCCAGTCCACTTGCATTTTAATAGAAGGAAATTAATAAAGTTGTAAGAAAAAAAAGGCACATTTTTCTACACATGAGTGTGGAGGAGTAGGAGTCTCCTCTCCTACCGTGTCGTTGGTGTCCAATCACACCATGGGCCCATTAAAATTTTACAATGTTTGGTGAGCAGGCTCCTCGTTTGGTCAGTGCTTTCGGCCAACAGATGTGCGCTTGACTTGCCGCAAATGTGGCATGACCAGCATCCTCTATCTTAGTCCTCGAAAAAACCAGTAGTTCGTCCCCCTTCTTCCACTGTTTGTGTGTGTGTGTGTGTGTTTATAGGATTTGTGTTCACATATTCCGTATGCTTGAGCAGCAGGAGAAAAAAAAATATTACAAACATTCGCATGGAATGAAAATTTTCAAAAGTGGAGGAGGAACGCCAACGCCATGAAGAAATGTTGCCTTTGGTTATGGAACATGGCGAAAACCATGGCTAGGTATCAACTTTTTTCTCGTTTTTTTTTTTGTTCTGTACCAGGACGAAGGACTGAGTCCTTTCTTTCCTCGCCCTTGTTTAGTTTTAATGGAGTCGTGTGTGTATGGCGTGTAAATATTTTCCCCTGTCCAGGGCCAACTGAAGATTTGTGAGGCGACTCGGTTCGGTTTGGCTAGGCTTTTGGTTGGTTTAGTTAGGCTTCTCTACAGCAAGAAGCTTGTTACTTTCCAGGGCGCAAATATGGTATATATATGTATATATCCTTTCACCCGCCCACATGGTGTCTAACGAGCGGTTAACAGGCCAGTTTTAGTGGAGTAAAAAAAGAAATATCGAAAAGTATGAAGGGTTATCTGGGAGACAAGTGAGAAAACTAACCTCAAGCTGATTGCAATTCTGATTTTTTGATGAAAATTGCATGCATTGTTTTGTCAAAAAAATATGGATTAAGCTGTGTACAGTTTAAAGAGATTAAATCCAGGAAAATATTTCAATTTTCATTTATAAGATAAAGACCAAAGAATCTAAGTCTCAAAATCCATTACATTTTTATTTATAAAAATTTTAAATTGTACATTTTATTCCCCACTTACAACGAATGATATTTATTATGATTCATTGCTTTTCCAGAGCAGGTAAATGTCGCCCTTTCATGCACTTGAATGGAAATAATAAATGCATGGCCTTCAGGGCCATCTCCTTGGTGTCCAAGAAATATTTCCCGACTCAGTGAGGCATCAATTACTTGCCTCCAGCTTTAGAGACCAAACAATAGCCAACAGCCGTAACTACTGTAAAATTGTTTTGACTCCAACCAAAGGACGAAGACAGACATGGTGGACAGGTGATAGATAACAAGGACAGTCTATGGTCATTTTTCTACGCCCAAGGGAACCCCAGAGTGATGTACGAAAGAAGATGAAATCTACCCACA